ATTTATATATTTATTTCCAAGATAGTCCTCTAATAATAGTAGTTCTAGCTAACACGCTTAATTAGTAAGGATATTTTAGTAAAAACAACACATATTTATTACAAAATGACTAACTTAACTTATTTTCTTAATCTCCTCAAATCAGTCGACTAGCTCTTATAATTAGGACCGAAAGTAGTATAAGATCTTGTTTGATTTTTATTTTGATTCTAAATATAAGATCTCAATCCATTTTGTCTTTATTTATGTATTTTTTCTCAAGATAATTCTTCTAATAATGATAGTTCTAACTAATATATTTGATTAATAAGGATATTTCAGGAAAGACAACACCTATTTACTACAATAACTAACTTAATTTATTTTCTTAATCTATTCAAATTAGTCAAGTAGATCTTATATTTAAGATCGAAGATAGTACTACACAAGGTTAAGAGTTTAGAATTCAGACATCAACTACAAAATAGGGAAAATCATAATTAAATATTCATACTTATATTAATAATAATTAAGGACCATAAAAGTTAGTTTCTTTTCCGGTATCATAAAGTCACGCTCATATTCTATGAAGTTATGGCTCAGTTTTTTAACATTACAAGAGCGTTATCATTTAGGGGGAAAAAATCAATAATAACTTATTTCTATGATCATTGAAGATAACTTTAATTTTTAAAATCTTCAACTATCACTTATATTCTAAAGAGAATTATAAAATAGGTAATGGTCCTCAATGCGAACGTCGTGCTGTACTACCAACCCCCACGTAAGACGGCTATGTTCATCGTCACAGGCAGAACCTTCCAGAGTCAACTTTAAATTTGGTCAAAAAAAGTTTTTAAAAAAAAAGGTCTGGAACCGTTATACAAAATGAATTGAGCCAGGATTTGTCAAAGAACTTTGATTAATCTCATTGCATACCTCACAAGGTGGACCATGCATGATCCATTAGCTTTCTACGTCTCGTGTTCAGCTAGAAGCCTTGATAGGAAATGGGGTTCGACTAAAAATAGTCACAAAGAAAAGAGAAAAAAACTTCTTTAAGACGGCTGAGTAGGGCTGGAAAAGCAGAGCATGTAACCCATTCACTGGGGCGAAGCATGACAAGCTCTCACAAGGCTTCAGCTCTATTCTTTCACTTACTCTTGGTATGTTTTCTTCCATCGAAGATAACCGCATCACTGAGAGCAGAAGCAGAAGCTCTGATTAAATGGAAAACAGTCTGTCTCCTTCTACTCTCAACTCATGGTCCCTAGCAATACGAACAATCTCTGCAATTGGAGTGCCATAGTCTGTGACAGCACTAATACAACAGTCTCAGAGATAAACCTCTCCGGAGCCAATCTTACTGGCTCACTTACGGGTTTGGACTTCACTTCTCTCCCCAGTCTCACTCGCCTGAACCTCAGTCACAATGGTTTCAATGGGTCAATTCCATCTGCTCTTGTTAACCTCTCCAAGCTCATTTTCCTGGACTTGGGACACAACTTCTTCAATGGAACTCTGCCTGCTGAGCTAGATCAGCTGAAAGAGCTTCAGTATATGAGTTTATACAACAACAACCTTAATGGGACCATTCCCTATCAGGTCACGAAGCTCCAAAAGGTATGGCACCTAGACTTTGGATCAAACTACTTTGTTAATCCTCCTGACTGGTCAATATATTCAGGCATGTCGTCCTTAACCCACCTTAGTTTAGCTCTCAATAGATTCACTTCTGAATTTCCAAGCTTCATTCTAGAGTGTCGAAATTTGACATTTCTAGACATGTCCTACAATCCGATGAGTCTAATACCAGAGTCATTGTATACCCATCTGCAAAAGCTTGAATACCTCGATATGAGCAAATGTGAGCTAGAAGGACACTTGTCAACAAACTTGTCCAAGCTTTCCAATCTCAAAGAAATTCATCTGCGTGCTAACAAGTTGACAGGTTCCATTTTCGCAGAAATAGGATTAATATCTGGACTACAAGTTCTTGAATTGAATGAGAATTTACTCGAGGGGGAAATTCCTTCCTCTCTAGGCCAGCTTAGTGACTTGCGCCGTCTTGATCTCAGACAAAATTCCTTAAATTCTACCATTCCTTCTGAGCTTGGCCTTTGTACCAACCTAACCTTCCTGGCTTTAGCAGTGAATTCTCTGGTTGGTTCCTTGCCAATGTCGTTGTCCAACCTGACAAAAATTAAAGAATTGGGCTTATCAGATAATCTCTTCACAGGTCAAATCCCTGATTCGTTGATCTCTAAATGGACAGAATTATCTTCTTTGCAGCTACAAAACAATAAATTTAGGGGAGAAATCCCTGCATCGATTGGCCTGTTGATGAAAATTGACATTCTTTTTCTATACAACAATACATTCTCTGGCCCCATTCCTCCCGAGATTGGGAACTTGCAAGCAATGAGCCATTTAGACGTCTCTTCAAACAAATTTTCTGGTCCAATTCCTTCAACCATATGGAGACTTGAAAACATTACAATCATAACTCTTGCCTCGAATAACCTCTCAGGAACCATTCCCATGGAAATTGGAAACCTCACTTCATTGATAAGTTTTGATGTCAACAGTAATTTTCTCCATGGTGTGTTGCCCAACACTATTTCCCAGTTAACCAAGTTACAAAATCTTTCTGTATTCACCAACAATTTTTCAGGCGACATTCCCAGAGATTTTGGGAAGTACAGCCTTGATTTGAGATATGTCTATCTTTCAAATAATAGCTTCTCCGGGGAACTACCGCCTGATCTGTGCAGCGGTTTTGCACTAATGGACTTAAGGGTGAATAACAATAGTTTTTCAGGACCATTGCCCAAGTGCTTGAGGAATAGTTCAGCATTAACAATGGTGAAGCTTGAGAGAAACCAATTCACAGGAAACATCACAGAAGCATTTGGGATTTACCTAAATCTTACATCCATCACACTCAGTGGCAACCAGTTTGTTGGTGAACTCTCCCCAAAATGGAGCGAATGCAAGAGCTTAATCAAGATAGACATGGATAACAACAAGCTCTCTGGGAAAATTCCATCTGAATTGAGTTTGTTAAGCCAATTACAATATCTAAGCCTACACTCCAATCAATTTACTAGTAGCATTCCACCAGAAATGGGAAATCTAAGGCAACTTTACTTGTTTAACTTGAGCGGCAATCATTTGACAGGAGAAATCCCCCAGACTCTTGGCAGATTGGACCGCCTTAATTGTCTTGACTTATCAAAGAACAAGTTTACTGGAAGCATACCGAAAGAGCTCAGTAACTGTGGCAGTTTAATTGGCTTGAATTTGAGCCATAACAATTTAACTAGGGAGATACCATTTGAACTTGGCAACCTGTTATCGCTCCAATACCTTCTGGACCTCAGCAGCAACTTTCTTTCAGGGCCAATTCCTCAGAACCTAGAAAAGCTCAGTCATTTGCAGATCCTTAATGTCTCACGCAACCATCTTTCAGGGACAATCCCACCATCGTTTTCAAGTATGCTCAGTCTTCAATCCATCGATTTTTCTTACAACAACCTGATGGGTCCTATACCCAGGGAAGGTATTTTCCAAAGAGCACCTACTGAAGCTTATGTTGGAAATTCTCGTTTGTGCGGCAAGGCAAAAGGATTAATTGCTTGTTCCACAGAATCTTCCCTAGGCAACTCTGGAGGGGTCAACAAAAAGGTACTTCTTGGTGTCATTATACCAGTTTGTGCGCTACTAATTTTCGGGGTGATTGTTGTTAGAATCCGAGTGTTCCACCAACGGGCCAAACTTCCAGACGAAGAGTCCAGCGATGCTCAGAAGACTAAAAAAACTGTAAGCATGATTTGGGGAAGAAAGGGAAAATTCACATTTGCTGAAATTGTTAAAGCAACCGATGACTTCGACGACAAATACTGCATTGGAAAAGGAGGTTTCGGAAGTCTTTATAGAGCAGAATTACCTACAGGTATAGTTGTCGCTGTCAAAAGACTCAATATCTCAAACTCTAGTGACATTCTAGCTGAGAATCTTCGTAGTGTCGAGAATGAGATAAAAGCTCTTACCGAAGCAAAACACCGCAATATCATAAAGCTTTATGGGTTTTGTCACACTGAAGAACACGCACACTTGGTTTACGAGTATGCGGAAAGAGGCAGCCTAGGAAAAGTGTTGTACGGCGAGGAAATGAAGACGGTATTAAGCTGGCCTCAGAGAGTGAAGATTGTGCAAGGGATAACGCAAGCTATAGCGTACCTACATAACGATTGCATCCCACAAGTTGTACATCGAGATGTGACGTTGAATAACATATTGCTGGACTCAGAATATGAACCCCGCCTCGCAGATTTTGGCATAGCGAAGCTTCTTACGCCAAATTCAACAACATGGTCCTCAATTGCTGGCTCCTATGGCTACATGGCTCCAGGTACTGACTCTAACCAATTGCTTTTTTTTTTTGGATAAGGAATTCATCAATGTTTTATTAAAAATTGATTTTGCAGAGCTAGCACAAACAACGCAGGTGACAGAGAAGTGTGACGTTTATAGTTTTGGAGTGGTGGTATTAGAGATATTACTGGGAAAGCACCCCGGCGATTTCTTGGCCACATTGCCATCAATGGAGAATCCACAAGTGTTGGTGAAGGATGTAATAGACCAAAGATTCCCACCTCCTCCAGCTCGATTGGGCGAAGCGATAGCCTTTATAATGACCATAGCCTTGGCATGCACGCGAACGCACCCTGAGTCTAGACCCACCATGCATTTTGTGGCCCAACAATTCTCGGCTATTGAGCAGACTTCTCTTGTGGAACCCTTGAGCACAATATCCCTAAATAAGCTAACAAGGTTTCATATGTAGAATGATGATGTCTTTTGACACAACCTGTCTTGTTCCTTAGCTTCTGTGCGCCCAAGCGTATGCGTGTGAAACTCACTAGCTAATTGTTTTGTGGTGTGCCGTAGTTGGCACAATAGGCATTTAGGTAACGTGTTTATATCATCTGAAATGACACGTTATTCTGCTCAAAGACATTATGGTCTCTTGAATTGCTCAATATAACTATTTTCTTCCTTCAAGCTTGCATACCATGCAACATACTATTTTTTTAGAAAAAAAATTGCAATTTAAATATATATGATAATATTTTATTATTATTTTGAAAAGGAAAAGAAAAGACACCCACCATTACCGACAGTGGAAAGGTGGGAGGGTGGGGGTGGTAAAGAAAGGTAATTAAGATGGAAGAATTTTGGGGAAGGAGTATTAAATGAAGAGAAAAAAAAGAGAAGGAACATATGGAGGTGGAAAAAAATAGGAGGAGTATTAATTGAAGAAGGAAAAGGAGGGAAGACGCAGATGAAAAAAAATATGGGGGGTGGTGCAGGTCAAAGAAAAATAAGGAGGGAGAAGTAAATGTGAGAATATTAAATACTTGCAATCCTTCTTCCCTTCATTTTGTGCGAGAAATAGAAAAAGAAAGAGTGAGAAGTTAAGCTGCAGAGTACATGATCTGAAAGTTAGGACAAGCTTTGAAGATCGTTTATGTATTCAAAAATACTTCTTGTTGTCAAATTTTTTATGAATATTTTCTATATATTTATAGATTTATATTATTAGTATCATTATAATGTTTGGAGAAAATTTCATTGTTTGGACATGGAGTTAGTAATGAGTTTTGATAATATATAATTGTAGAAATTTAAAGATGTATTATTAAGAAATTTTAATCTGTTTATATTTATTTTATGATTATTTTGAGAATTGTCAATTAAGATTTTAGTTGAATATTTATTTTTCAAGACATGTAGAATGTTTTTAGTGATTAAATTTAAGTTAAATAATTTATTTGGATTATTCAATATATTACTAAGGTTTTAATCTGTTCAAATATTGAATGGGCCAAAGATATATTGTTAAAATAATTTTTGCAAGCTTGAAGAATTGTAAATTAAGAATTTTATGAAATTAGATAAAGTTAAAGTCTATTTATAATTCAAAAGAGTTACTTGGTTTGAGGAAAAATTTTAAATGAGACTATAATAAATAATTGAGATTTTAATATGAAATATTTAGATTTTGGGTAGTAAATATGTATTTATTTAATTTATTAATTTTAAATAATTTCTTATATGAAAAAAATAAATTTTATTTCCAAATAATATTGTATTCATTATAAATAGCTAGATTTGTGAGAGTTAATATATTTTTGTAATTTTAGTTTAGATGGTAATCTTAGAATTTTAGAGCAGTTTTGAAATAGTTTTGAGTTTTATATTAATAAATATTTGTGTGTAATTTCGTAGACTCTTGAGAATTTTGGAGTAATCATTGCATAAATATTTGTAAGCTAAAGAGTAATAGGTAACTCTAAAAATTCTTTCAGGTACATATGGATTGTGTATGATTATATTGTGGATTTACTAATTTATTATACCATATTGAAATATATGTATGTATTATGACTTTTCAAATAAAGTTTTTATTTTTTTAAGATTTATTGTTATTAATTATGATCAATATTTAAATATATTGAGTTATTGATACAAAAATTTTATTGCTATCTTACTTTAATAATATATCTGAGGACGTAGTGCTGATGTAATATTATTTGCACATAACATATACATTGTTGGGCTAATGATATAATTAGATTTGGATGGATATAAAATTACCAAGTGATATGTCATCACTTGGTGCACAGTGGATAGCACTTGTCAGGACTCCTCCTTCCATGTTTTCCTTTTATCATGAATTCATTAGAGCTGTGGGACATATAACACCTCCTTATTTTATTTGCAAAGAAGGGGAGTCATAGTCTAAACTTGAACTTTATATCTTTGGCCTGATATATCTCCAGTATCGGTGAGTTTGGAATAATTCAGTAAAATGGGTTAGTTCCTATTGGAGTATGTATTAGCCTATGCCTCCAATCAGCGGTGTCAGGGTGGACAGTAATATAAAGGAGGCTGCATATCACATTATTTTTGGATATGTTGGAAAAATGATATTGGTATATTATTGAATCAAAAATAAAATTGAGTTGAATGTATAAAATCAGTGATTTTCATGCATAAATATATACACACATATAAACGGATTTTTGTTTATCATAAATAGTTTGCTTGTATAGGTTAGAATTTTAGTAGTTAGTAAAATATTTGATCTCATCCTTTATATCAACGTTTTCAAGTGAAGAATCTAGTAGGAATCAAAGAAAGGCATTGGTTGAGTAAGTCGTGAAGGCTTCTATACTCCTCGAACATATACTATGTTATATTTTTAATTGCCATGAATATAAAATTTCAATAATTTATTTTATTATGTCTGAAAAATATTTTGAAATTGATCTGTTTTGAATGCTAAATGAACTTTTAAAGAAAGTATTTTATCACGTTTGTATATATAATTATGTGAGGTGTTACATACTACATTAACAGTCTTCCTGAAATGTAAAATTCCAAAACCATCAAACGAAATGGAACAACACTACATCCACTAGTCTCTGCAACTTCAACATTCTACCCCACATTGTTTAAGTACCGGACCACTTTGCCTGGGCAAAAATGGGTCGATCCGAACCCAAAGCAATGACAAAACTAAAGCTACAAATAGTGACCAGAGGACAACGATAGTAGGAGTCCTATTTTGCTTTCCCATCAGACCTCTGAGGAAAGGATGCAAGTGCACAATAACCCAGAAGGCTAAAAATAGTTTACCAAATAAAAGTCCCCATGAGCCATAGCCATTGTTGACGGCATCTGAGATGCCAGCCATAATTCCCACAACATTCAAGATTACGAGAGTGGTTGGTGGGATGAGAAGATTAGTCCACTTTAAGAGGTAGAAGCCAGTGTTACTTGTTGTCTTTGCCCGGCCAACGAAATCAGTATCTGCTCCAGTAACAACTTCAAGGAGACCTTGAAATAAAGCAAACAAATGGGAAGAAACACCTCCAATGATCCAGAGTTGCTCATTGCGCCACCAGTCATGAATGCTAACCCTGCTCCATCGAAGCTCTAGCGCGGAAGTTGAGATGACGGAGACAAAAAGCGCCATTAACCAAATGCTATCAAGAATTGTCAACTGCATCGAATAAAGTCCCTGGTCAGGAAACGCATATCTGATGGCAAAATTACCGTTTCCCCCTCTTTCTCTTTATTTGATAGTGAAATTTATACGATAGCCTAAAACAGATCAGTTATCCTTGTAATCAGTTCACAAGATACATTAATTGTTATGAGGTCGAATATCTCATCAAATATGAGCCAAATATAATTCATTAATTGCTCTGGCTGACCAAAACGTAATTTACTTACCGTTGGGATGATGAACTTTCCTGTCAGAAGACAGACAGCTGGAATTGTACAATATATTAACAAAGGGATTGAAGTGATTGGGTAAACAATTGTATTAGTATAAGCCAGCCTCTGAAGCCACTTCAGTTTTCCTTTATAGCCATACCACATCGGGCAATGGGGACTCAAGAGTATCTGAACGGAACCAAGAGCCCGTCTCAAAATCTCGAATAATTGATCTGATAGATTTACTGGAGCAAAGCCCTTGAAAGCTGCTCTTTTTGGTATGCAGTACGCTGATTTCCATCCTCTACAATGCATCTTAAAACCAGTCAAGATCCCTTCCGTGACTGAACCATAAATCCAACCAATCTACAAAGGAAATAAATTTGAGAAGAAGACCTGATTGGTTCGTAATTATGGTTTATAACAGAAATTAGAAATTGAAGGCGAAAAACTCGTTGCAATGAATAACATTACCTCTTTGCCCCATTCTGTTTTCTCTTCATAATCACAACATATAACATGAATGGCCTCCTTCATAGCATTAGCGCCTTCTGGAACCCCGCCAGACCCCCTCAAAGTGGAAGCAACAAAAATTGGTGACCGCCCAAATCGTTTCACAAATTTTTCCCGTGACATGGGGGATGGTTCCTCTGTCTCCTCATAACCTTCAAGATCTTCTCCACTCTGCCCAAGATCAAGTATTTCTAGTATTTCCTCCACGTCAGAACTTTCAAGCGATTCTTCCATGTCCTTGAGATCAAATATATCTAGTTTATCATAGTCTTCAAGATTTTCATCAATCTCTTCAAGATCAATCACGGAATCAGAACCACCGCAACAACAGCTACACCACATAGGCCACCAGTCGCAATTAATCTTCGAACTTCTCTTAAATATTTGCGGGTCATAGCCATATAAAGCCCGCCTGTTAAGTACACATCCAGTACCAAAATATTCCGGACCTTGAATCCCATCAAGGCTTTTCATGTTGATCTATAACCAAAGTAACATTAAAGGCAGATGTTGAAGGCCGGTTAGTGAAATTAAACGTTACATTTTATAATCGTGTTTGACAAGTTGGAATTAAGAAAAAAGTCCCTTACATTGAAAAAAAGGGTATTGTGATTAGCATATCTGTCATGGCTATCCATGCTATCGAAACTCAATGGAAACTGGACAAAACAGAGGCGCCTTCCATTGGGGTCCATTAGAAAGCACATAGCCTCCCTTATAGCCTTGCTATTGTTGATGTAGTGGTCGCAATCCATATTCAACAAGAAAGGGGCATTTGTAAGCACAGCAGAGACTCGAACCTTTATTAGGACAGATGAAATTGCGCGCATCATTAACAACTTTTCTAATAACTCAGCCATAATGGAAGTAACAAATATAACTTGAAGTTGAAGTTGAAGTTGCGTACCAGAGCATTCAAGGCGCCAGATTTCTTGTGGTGTTGATAGCCAGGGCGATTTTCTCGTGAAACATACACAAGCCGTGGCAATTCCTTACCTTCAACATCCGGAGTACCATCACCTCCCAGAGAGACCTACAATGACA